GCTTGTGAGCAGTTTCAATAATTTTATCCTAACCACAACACAATGAATATCAAGAAAGTTTCGTTCATACTTGTGAGAAAAATAGAGTAACTGAGAAATAGGTGTGAAGCAGGTATGAATGTGTCTTGCGACATTCAGAGCTCACACATTTGTTTTATATCAGGCTTTTTCTCATATTTAAAAAATAACTAGTTTGACCAGGAGCACTGGCGTGTGCCTATAGTCTGAGCAACTTGGGAGGCTGAGGTAATAGCATCACTTGAGTCTGGGAGTTCAAGGCTGTTGTGTACTATCACTGCACCTGCAAATAGCCACTACACTCTAGCCTGGGAAACAGAGAGAGAAATTAGAAATTTTCATTTCTAAAATTAAAAAAAAATTAGTTCATAATAGACTGAAAAATGAGTAACAAATGTATGTAGCAGATAATGCATATTCAAACACTTGTGCCAATATAGAAAATGAAATGCTTATAACAAAAGGACATATTTCCTTTCCTTATTAGAGTATCCTTATGATTTGTGATGGTCAAGTAACTTCAGTCTATCAACTTCAATCATTACAGAAGCTTAAAGCATTTTTCCCAGTAAATTGGTAAATTCCTCTTCACACGTGCAATTGCTTGAGCTAGATTGTGAAGCATTCTTGTTTTCTGCTTTCTCCTCATCCTCCATATCCAATTAATCAGTAAATTCTTTTGATTCAATCTCCAAATTATATGACAGATCTATCCACGTTTGCCAATCTCCGCCTTGTCAATCCAACTCCCTGCCATCAGTGTTCCTTCCCTGGACTAAGCAGAAGACACCTGCTTATTGGTTGTCTTCCATCCAGTTCAGTTTTCACTCATTTCAAACAGAAATACACAGGTAATAATTGTCTGTGGCTTCTCATTGCATTTAGACTAACATCCAAATTCCTTACAGTGGCCTTCAAGGCCCTACTTTATATATATTTTCCCTCTGGCCTCATTTCTTCTGAAGTTCCAATCCCACTGGTCTTCTTCACTTTCTTCAAAAGCCTTAAGCTTTCCACACATGCACTGTTCTCTTTGAAAAAACTTATTCCCTACTCTTGCTATGACCGACTTTTCTTGCTTCAAGTTTCAAGTTAAATACTATGTCTTCAGACAGGATTTTCCTAAATAACACTCTCTTGCTAGCAACATATTTTTTAACCAATAATCTCCCAGTCTTTTTCTTCTCTACTGCAGCAAATGCCACTGCATGGCTTTCTTTATTTGTCAATTTTCCAGTTGTTATTCAGAATGTAGAAAGAATCTCCTTTATTACTCCTGCAATGCAACTTCATTGCCTACCACCTGGCTTTGTATTTTTCAATAAATATATGAGTAAATATACAGACTAAGATGCATTGCCTAGTATTACCCAAATTGAATAACTGAATTAGTTCCTCTTCATCAGCTACTCAGAACCTGAACATTTGATCTCACCCGTTGCCTTTCTGCCCTCAACTGTTTCTAACTTTAGTGAGCCAAGAGCTTTTTACATTCTATCCAGACTCTTCTCAATTTTCACCATTATATCAGACTCATTTCGTTGACATGGAAAATAGTTTTCAATACCTGAAAATGATTTTAAACAATCAAAATATTTTATTATTAATATAAGTTAAACATAAGAAAACCTAAATGCTATATGGGCTGATAGTAAAAACAAAATATAAGCTTAACTTAAAAAGAAAAAGAAAAATTAGATATGGAAGTATTTTTCTGTGGTCTGGAGGTCAGTCAGTCCCCTTAAAAGGTTTTTACTAACTGCCACTAATATGACATTTGAGCCACTAAAATCATTTATGGATAACAGGGAATCCAACAAATGGAAACTAATAAAAGATATTACTATAGTCTACCATTTATAATCCCTTTAAAAGTCTTCAGGGTCTTGAATGCTTCATAGTTGGTCAAAAACCACACATATTTTCAATATCTCAGAAACAGTAGACATAGCAGGATGAAGAAATATGTGTTTTTTTTTTGTTAGTCTTACAGATGAATTTTTTTTTTTTTGAAATATGTGTTTTATTACTGCTTTTGGCCATGTTATTGGATGACCCTTCTCAAACAAATGTTACCATATTTAAATAAAGTGCCCATGTCACAGTTAATACATAAGGAATGACAAAGGTCAACAAACTTAAGACACAGAAATTCCAAACGCTTTGATCATTCAGCTATTTACGACAACTTTGTGAGTTTTAAACATCATGAGCATCCCCAAAACAATGAATTTGTGTAATAATACAAAGCCATATTCACATTCTCTCATCTTATAACAAAATAATAAAAGTTTTACATTCATATTTATTATTTGTTTCTCCCCATTCTTGTCAGGTATTAACCTTGAATTTTTTGAAATAACAACTTTAAGTAAATAAGTTTTATCTCATTCATTCCTCACAACTAGTTTTACTCCTGATGATACTTCAGTAGGTCCCTCTCTAACGATTTCTATTTTTATTGGATACAAGAGTGTGATAATTAGACATTGCCTAGCCTATTCAGTTAAAAAGATGGCCTGATTCTCAGTCAACCAATATCTTATATTAGCTGTATGTCCACTATGGGCCTTGCACTTTATTAACCTCTGTGAAATTCAGTCAGGATTATGTCCCTTCTCTGCCTCCTGGAAATGAATCAGGCAGGGATGAATCTGAGCACTTCAGAGCCTTATACCTGGCTCTGGAAAAATCACTAGTTTCCCTTGGAAGTAATGCTGCCTTCTGAGATTGGTTCAGAGGGATCTTGGATCAAAGACAGGGAATCTCATCTCTGTTGTTTCTAAAAGGTCTTCGTAACAGTAAGGGGATGGTAGAGTTGTTTCAAGAAAGCATCTGTATACCTTAAAGCGATACAAGTGGATCTACCATTTGATCCAGCAATCCCATTGCTGGGCATCTACCCAAAAGATCCAATGACACTCTACAAAAAAGACACCTGCACTCGAATGTTTATAGCAGCACAATTCATAATTGCAAGGCTGTGGAAACAGCCCAAGTGCCCATCAATCCAAGAATGGATTAATAAAATGTGGTATATGTATACCATGGAGTACTATTCAGCTCTAAGAAACAACGGTGTTATAGCACATCTTATATTTTCCTGGTTAGAGCTGGAACACGTACTATTAAGTGAAGTTTCCCAAGAATGGAAAAACAAGCACCACATATACTCACCAGCAAATTGGTATTAACTTAGCAGCACCTAAGTGGTCACATAGGTACTACAGTAATAGGGTATTGGGCAGGTGGGAGGGGGGAGGGGGGCGGGTATATACATATATAATGAGTGAGATGTGCACCATCTGGGGGATGGTCATGATGGAGACTCAGACTTGTGGGGGGGGAATGGGCATTTATTGAAACCTTAAAATCTGTACCCCCATAATATGCCGAAATAAAAAAATAAATAAAAAAAAAGAAAGCATCTGTAATAATCCTGCTACATGCAACAGGTATTGTCTTATAACAACTCATCTTTAATCCTTTCAGTTGCACATGGCTGAGGGCTTCCAATACACTTTTTTTTTAATTAGAAGAAGAATTCAACAGGTAAAAGAAAAGTTATAGCTAAGAAGTGTGGTATCAAATTGAACACTTGACTGTAATGTTGACTTTGCATGAAATACTCCTTGAAATTATGAGTTATACAGTATTAAGGTATAACTAGCTTGCTGTTAAGAACATAGATATTATATAATATATATTGGTTTAAATGCTGCATTTCATATTAGTTTATAGACAGTCCTCCACACCTTAGCAGTTTGCATCCACAGAAATGACACCTAATTTATGAGATCTTTTCATCACTGCCATTGCAAATGTATTAGCTCTGAGGTTTTGTTAGATTTTTTTTTTTTTCAGGTTAATGAATCATCTAAATATCTGAAAGAGACACTGCTTCTATCAATGGCTGAAATTACTGGTAAGGCTTGACCCATTAAAAAAAAAGCTATTTAGACTTAGCTATAATGTCTCTTAGAGGTGTATTAAAGATAACAGCACAAGTATTTGTTTACAGTTGAAACACTAGCAATATAATCAAATACACTCCCAAGGATGCAATCAGTCAGGAAACATCTTGCACAACAAATCTATGTGGGATTATCTGACACTGTTGTGGGTTCCCTTGATTTCTCTGGTGCCTAGAAACATAATGCAGTCTGTATTTTGTAGATATTCCCTAATTTATATGAGAATGGTGATCTAACTTTCCTGTCTCAACAATTTGCTTGTCATTGTTTTTCTACCATTATCTTTAGGTAAGAAACTTCAAACCCATGAGCTATTAACTTACATGAATGACTATTCTTTTGAAATGATTCTGTTAGCAAGAAAAATAATCTGAATCTTAGCTCTTTAAAACTAACAATTAAACCAAAAGAAAAGTATTTTTTTTAGATTTGAAGGGAATATTTGTATAATTTGCATATTTTGTTGGCATGAATCTAAAAATGTGTTTTATTTTTTCTAAATGAGTATGGTAGACAGAACTATAAAAATGGACCCAGACTATTTCCCAGCCTAACACTTAGGGACTGGGAATATGATATTTTATGACTTGTGAATATGTCACATCTCATGGAAAAAGGGACTTTGCAAAAGTAATTTGCATTATGACCAATTTAGTTTAAAATAAAGCTACTAGTTTTTATCAGGTGGATTTAATCAAATTCTATGAACCCCTTAAAAGTGGAGAATTTTCTCTTTCTAGTAGGAAAAGGGGAAATCAGAGAAATCGGAAGCTTGAGATTGACATGCTGTAGTTGGAGTTGTGATGGAGGAACCATGTTCAAGGACTAGAAAGTGGCTACTGAAAGATCAGAGCAGTCTCTGGCAGGCAGTAAGAAAAGAGGGACTTCACTCCCACAAGTCATAGAACTGAATTCTGCCAATAACTTTATCTTTTATATATATATATAAAATTTTATTAATTTTATACATTTTAAATTTTAATTTTCTACTTTTTCCCCCCAGATTATAAAGATGCAGATGCCAATAACTTAAATGAGCCTAAAAAGGGAATATTTCCCAGACTCCAGAGAGGAGCCCATCTTGCCAACACTTTGATTTCAACATTGTGGGAAACGGAGTGGAGATTTCAGTTGTCATCTTTGTCTTCTGCGTTTCTGGACTTTGAGATAATAAATGGGTGTTGTCTTAAGGTCCTAACTTTGTTGTACTTGTCGTATAGCAATAGATGACTAATACAAACATATTTTGAATTTTGACCCTTTGATTCCTTCTTGGAAATTGTTGTACATCTAATGTAGTAATTCAAAATGTCAGGATTTTCATGAATTTCCTCTATATTGAATTTAATAAAGATTTTCTCTCCTGTCACATTACACAATATCTATTTTAATATTACTCAGAATATTTAGGATATTTCAGCCTATTGACCTCTAATAATTATGCTAAGATGCATTAGAAAACTATAAAAGTAAGCAAGAAACTAATATGAGTGGTAGCTATAAAACATTAGGCTTTACATTTTTAATTAAAAAACTTTTTTTTAGAGACAGAGTCTTGCTCAGTAGCCCAGATTACAGTACAGTGACAACATCATAGCTCACTATATCCTAAAGCTCCTGGGCTCAGGTGATCCTCCTACCTAAGCCTTCCTAAGTAGCCTCCCACTACAGACACATGCCACCATGCCTGGATAATTTTTTTAATTTTTGGAGAGATGAGAATACAGACAAGGTCTCACTATATTGCCCAGCCTTGTCTCCAACTCCTGGCCTCAAGTGATCCTCCTGCCTCAACTTCCCAAAGTGAAATAAAAAAAAATTTAATGAAACTTTAAATGAAACACTTTTATTTTGGAAATGTGGACTTTTGATTTTTGTCATTCTAGGCCTCTACTTTATCTATAAGCTCCGAGAAAGTATATAGGATGGTCCTTATAAAATCAATTTTAATCATTTTTCATTTTTAAAATTCTGGCATGAGACATAATTTTATATGAAAAACCCCAACACTGTATTCTATATTTACTCTTGAATAAATCAATTTCAGAGCTATGCACATCAGGCAGCACTGTTTATTATGTATTAACTTAATTCTAACATTACTTCTATGCTCTCATTAAGCTCTATTGAAAATCAATTTGAATTATAAATTAAGTGAAGTGAAAAGATTTTTACTTTGAAAGAAATCATCTATTTCATTCACAGGAGTGTTAATCTATTTCCTTTCCCACATTTTGTTCTTCAAAGTTTCCTTATCCTTTGTTTCTCAGATTCAAGTGGCTTTAATATTGAGAGAATTAATGAAATAATGACTCAGAAACCTTAGTGAGATACATATCACCTCTTTAATCAGTATTATAGATTTGTGGGTCCATAAGAGGTTGGTTGAGACATTTTATCCTGTCGGATTAGTATTGCTTAAAAGAGTTTGAATCATCAAATCAAAAAATTAGTTCATGACATCTAACAGTTAGTACATAAATGGTTATTTCCTTTTCTGTAACATCTTTCAAACCAGGGTGAGATTTATGGGCAAGGTGAAGAAATGCCTACGTACACAATGTACTTAGAGGAATGTTTTATAACCCCTAAGTTTCCACTCCCTCCACAATCTCCACACAACTCCTTTTTCTAAGGGAGTTTCTTTTTGAAAGCTATAAAATGTCATCGCCGGGCGCGGTGGCTCACGCCTGTAATCCTAGCACTCTGGGAGGCTGAGGCGGGCGGATTGCTCGAGGTCAGGAGTTCGAAACCAGCCTGAGCAAGAGCGAGACCCCGTCTCTACTATAAATAGAAAGAAATTAATTGGCCAACTAATATATATATAAAATTAGCTGGGCATGGTGGCGCATGCCTGTAGTCCCAGCTACTCGGGAGGCTGAGGCAGAAGGATCACTTGAGCCCAGGAGTTTGAGGTTGCTGTGAGCTAGGCTGACGCCACGGCACTCACTCTAGCCTGGGCAACAAGCGAGACTCTGTCTCAAACAAAAAAAAAAAAAAAAATGTCATTTATTCATCCATTCACCTATGTGTTTATTCTCTCCATAGATATGTATTGTTTGTATAGATTGCTGCAGCTACATCAGCGAACAAGGAATATTTGCTGCATTTCCACTCCATTTTGAAGGTAACTACAATGATTATGATAACATAGAATGTAGGCTAACTTGGCAGATGAAAGAGGGCAATATGGGACCCTGAATGTTGTCTTAAAGCATTAGGACAGGCTCCCACAAGATGTGCAATCTAAGAAAAACCCTAAAGAGCAACGCAAGTTTGATAACTGAAGTGAAGAGTAATTACATTTATTTCTTTGACCTTTCCTGACCAACAGCAGAGAAAACTGTATGTGTACCTCTACACATATGTAAGGATGTATAATAAGTTAGAGAAATTATGGTGCCTTTGAGGAACCAGAGCTTGGTGCGTTTGGGGAATACACAAAGCCCTTTAGTTCTTGTGGCTAGAATGCAGAGTATCAGGCTGAATTTAAGATTAGAAAAAGATCAGCCTTATTAAAAGGTACCTTGCCACATTAAAAAGTTTAGATGGCAGATTTTATCCACATCATTTAATAATTTATATTGATAGTTTATCTCGTTAGATTCATATCATAGTGTTGAAAATTATCAAAATGAAATTTCTCATGATGCAGATGTCGTTGGAAGTTACAATAGATACATCCTCAAGCAGAAAAAATTATTTTTAATGCTCTCTGGAAATGTTTGTTCATATCTATATTAACCAATTTATTGAGTACCAAGAATAGTTTGTACTAGAGTAGCTTCTCCATAAATAGAAATTATAAAATCTGGACAATATATTTTTTAAAAATATTTGAAGGCACTGAAGGGTAAATAGACAGGCAGAACTGAAGATGAGCCAATCTCAGAAGAGGATATTCGAATCAAGTGAAATTTGTATTCATGGAGCTCTTTGCCTGGGCGTCCTTACTCCTCACGGCTCAACTGGAACTCAAGAAAAAAGCCACATTATTATTGACTTGGAGACAATGGACAGAGGTTAGTGTTGGCTAGGTGGCTGGAATGTGAACAAAAATATGTCAGAAAGGACAAATCCTTTCTGATGACCCCAGATATCTGGGTATAAATTTCATCCAAATACTTGGCTTATCTATAGATGTGAAATTCTATACGAAGCTTTGCACCAGAGGCCTATTATTAACTTTAGCTTAACAGCTTCGAGAATTCAGTGGCGATTTCAGCTTCTGCCCACTTCATGTAGAGACAGAGTTTAGAATATGAGCCTATAGTTCAGAATATAAGCCTAGAGTTTAGAATATGAGTCCAGTGAATATGAGCCCAGAGTTTAGAATATGAGCTCAGTCTTAAAGAAAAGTTAATACTTCCCACAGGAGGATAACAAAATCCAGTTTTTACAATATATCTTTTACAATATCTACTATACAATAAAAATTATTAGTTATGTAAGAAACTACTAAATGGGATCCATAATAGAGAAGATATGTTGCTAATAGAAACAGACCTTTACATTTATTGATTATCAAAGAAACTTTAAATTAGATTAGGTGGCATGAACATTAACTCAACTAACAGAAATATGTTTAAAGTCTAACCCCAATAGATAAGCTCGTCTAATCTAATGTGATACCACATGATATTTGTTGTGTATGTCCATATAAACCAAATAGTGTTGTTTGGTACAAATGTACTTTTTATTTATTTATTTATTTATTGAGACAGAGTCTCACTTTGTTGCCCAGGCTAGAGTGAGTGCCATGGCGTCAGCCTAGCTCACAGCAACCTCAAACTCCTGGGCTCAAGTGATCCTGCTGTCTCAGCCTCCCGAGTAGCTGGGACTACAGGCATGTGCCACCATGCCCGGCTAATTTTTTCTATATATATATTAGTTGGCCAATTAATTTCTTTCTATTTTTATAGTAGAGTTGGGGTCTCGCCCTTATTCAGCCTGGTTTTGAACTCCTGACCTCGAGCAATCTGCCCGCCTCGGCCTCCCAGAGTGCTAGGATTGCAGGCGTAAACCACCGAGCCTGGCCACAAATGTACTTTTTTAAAAAATCGAATTGATTATGCATCTCATTGCTTTTTGCTTCTTTCACTAAAAAGGATGCTTTTAATATTCACAATTGGAGCCATGTGTACATCTATCCAAAACTTCAAATTTTCCCATCCCCCACATTTTACATCACCGCTCTCCCATGGATAGGCACATTTATTGATTGTGTTGCCCCACAATGATAAAACGAGCATTCTGGTATGTGCCATTTATGGCCCTGTGTGATAATTTCTTGAGATATATACCCAGGAGTAGAATTCTATGTCACAGGATATGTGAATGTTTGGTTTGTGTTAGTCATGTTTTTTAGCTCTCCAGAATGGCTGCACCAATCTCTACTCATGCCAGCAGCACAAAAAACATCCTATATTCCCATATATTCACCAATATTTGGATTTATCCAGCTTTGTAATTCATTTCCATCTAATACACATGAAGTAAAATCTCATTATAGACTTAATTGACAATGAATTTGAACATATCTTTATATGCACGTTAGCCTTCAAGATTTTCTGTTGTCTAAATTAACTGTTCATAGTCTTTGCCAATTTTTCTGACAGAGTGGACTTTTTCTAGTTGATACAATGATTTGCATTGTAGAAGCAATGCAAATACTCTCAGTTTTAGACATTGCAAATATCATCACCCAGTTGTTCATTTGCCAAAAAAAATGTGTCCATGGCATGCTGTGTTGAATATAAATCTTATTTTTGATATAATTAAGTTTTTGTTTATATTTCCTTCCTTATGATTTATGTCTGGAATTTAATTTTTGAAGTTATTTGCCACTCTAGGTCACAAAGATATTCTCCTAAAGTTTCTTCTATTAACTTTGTAGGTTTACCTTTCATCTTTGTCTTTAATCCATCAGAAGTCCATTTTCTGTGTCTCATTGTCTCTTACCCCAAACTAAGAAATACTGAAGACAATCTGTTCCATCCTAAGTTTAATTACCAGTTCATATTGCTAGTCATGAGGATACAGATTGTCCTCCACAAACCTGCGACAATTCCCCTTCTTTCAGGAGCTTTTGACGTGAGCTGTCTGATGAATTAACAATTGTCCACAACCTTGCCTCCTCATGCATAAATGCAATCTATGAAAAAGTATCTCCATGTGGATAAAGTAGTGTAGTTATGTGTTTTGTTTTTTTTTTTTTAATTTCTTGCTTGTTTCAGACTGCAAGCAGGACATCTAATTGTGAATGTTTCATGATAAGGCAGAGCTGTATACTAAAAACAAACAAAACAAAACAACAAACAATAAACCTCATCTGCCCCTACTTCGATGCCCTTAATTCCACTCTCTTGCCTGATTGCCATAGCTGGGACTTCGAGCACTATGTTGAATAGAAGAGGAGATAGTGGGCATCCTTGTCTGGTTCCAGTTCAAAGTGGGAATTGTTTCAGTTTTTCCCCATTCGGTATGATATTGGCTGTGGGTTTGTCATAAATGGATTTGATAATTTTAAGGTATGAGCTGCTTATGCCTATTTTGTTAAGAACTTTTATCATAAAGGTGTGTTGGACTTTGTCAAATGCTTTTTCTGCATCTATTGAGAGAATCATATGATCTTTGTTCTTGTTTTTATTTATGAGATGAACTGCATTTATAGACTTGCGTATGTTGAACCACCCCTGCATCCCTGGAATAAAGCCCACCTGGTCATGGTGAATTATTTTTTTTTATGTGCTGCTGAATTCTATTTGCTAACATTTTGTTGAGGATTTTTGCATCTATATTCATGAAGGATATTGGTCTGTAATTTTCTTTTTTTGTTGTTCCGTCCTTTCCTAGCTTTGTTATCAAGGTAATACCGGCTTCATAGAATGAGTTAGGAAGGATACCATCCTTCTCAATGTTGTGGAATAATTTCTGTAGTATAGGTATGAGTTCATCTTTGTATGTTTGGTAAAACTCTGAAGTGGAGCCATCTGGTTCAGGACTCTTCCATTTACCATTAGGTGGCAACAGAGTGCAGATAGGCTACAAATCTGCTTCAGGTGCGTGTTGCACATTGAGTGATGACACCAGCAGGGATGGCAAAAGCTAGTCTTCTGAGATAAGGTGCTTAAATACCCATACAGAACATACACACTACCTGAGGGACAAAATGAGATGCTGATTTGAACCAGTTAGGCCATATATTCACCATAGTGATCTCTCATGCAATAAAAAGTGTGAGTCAAAAAAAAAAATAAATCAATCAATAAAACCTCACTCTAAGACCATGGAACAAGTATCTCACTTTACCTTTCCTTCCTTATAGTTCCAACTCCTTCTGTGTTATCATGATTTACTGTGTACGTGTTTACCAACTAAGGAATAAAATTTATATATAACACTTTTGGGGGTTTTCCAAATCAAAATAATTCAACCATAGCCTGAATTTCATTATTTCTATACTAAGTGTCTATTATGTTCACACTTTATACATCTTATGGCAGTGATAACGTTTTGAAATTTTATGTCTAATCTCATATATTTTGTTTCATTATGACATGTCAAAAACACCTTAATGTTTAAAGTTTTATTATAAATTCTATGACAAATATTACACTTAGAATTTTGTCTTAGATGAAGATCGAATAAGTGAGACAGTTTAAAGCACAGAAAATATTCAGTGATGAAAGACAATGTTTTTCTTATATAATCTTCTATGAGCTTTTCCTTAAATATTTGTAGAAAGAAAGGAATCATAAGTAGTTTCACATGTACGTTATCTGCACATGCAATTTTCTTTAAATATCATTGTCATTTTCATTTCCCATATTAATGTAACCTTCTATAAAAATTTTGATTTAGTATTATATTTTTAATATTTTCTGTTTTTTTCAATCCTCATCTCTCTCTTTTCTTCTCTTACTTTCTCTGAGTTTAAAGTAAATTTTTGATAGGTAAAGTTCATGGTAAGAAATATGAATGCATTCTAATATTATCACAATAGTCCTCTGAGCCATCTTATGGGGAACTATTTTAAAATACATGCCAAGTCTGTTGCAATTGAAATTTCAGTGACAAAGAAGGCCAAAGAAAAGGTTTTTTTCTGCATAGTTTTATCATTCCTGGTTGAAAGCTTAAAATGCCAAAATAACAGTGTAACTATTTCTTGGAAATGCAAATACAGCATAATTTAAGGGTCAATGGCTAACACACTAATACTAAAGATTCCATTTGTGATGACACACAATTTAGTGAAGATAATAATTCATCAAAGTTTCTAGACCTTATGTAGAATGAAAAATAGGAGGACAAAAGGCCTTAAGTATTCTGAGAATGTACCTGATTGATCCTCAGAAAGTTCCCCTTGAAATACAGAATTGTTTTCATTATAACACACATACACATCAAAGATATAAAAGAACATTATTCCTTCAAAACATATTTAATATATATCAACAAAAGTAATGATAGAGCTGCATTTATTAATGAAGCTTAAGACTCTTTTTCGGGCACCATTTCAGTGAGTTTCAGTGGTTCTTATTATCTGTGTAAGAAAATATTATAGATATTGAAATTATCCCAGCTTCATTTTAAACAAATAATAATCAAAATGACTATGAATGATTTAGACTGCATGACAGAAGAAGCCGTAGTGATAAAATTTTGGTGTTAATGCAATTTGTAGATTAGAATTTTTTGGAGTTACATGTAGACAGGCAGATTAATAAGAAATAAGGAAAATGAATTTGAATTTAGACTTTCATAAATATTTTCCCTGAACAGCAGTAGGAATTTATAGAGGATGCATCTAAACTATAGACAGTGCTCTAAAGGTAATCAAAGCTTAGAAATCTAATTACAGAATATTGCTCAAGTTTTTATGTTGAGTTGGATTCCTAGGATAGGATTTAGTCATTCAAATGGGTATTGCCATGTTAAACAAACAAATAAACAAAATCTTACATACTGCCCACTAAAGAAAGAAATTTTACATCTCTTTATTGTTAAAGCTCCCCTTCAATTTGTGTAAT